TAGATTTTCACACTAAAATACAAGGTTGATGGATCCTTTGAGAGATATAAAACAAGATTGATAGCCAAAGGGTATACTCAGACTTATGGGGTAGATTATTATCAAAGAACTTTTGCTCCAGTTGCAAAAATGAATACAATGAGGATTCTATTGTCATTGACTGCCCACTTAAGGTGGCAACTCCTACAATATGATGTTAAGAATGCATTTCTCCATGGTAATTTAGATGAAGAGATATACATGAATATCCAATTGGGATTTGAGGGCGACACAGGTAACAAGGTATGCAAGTTGAAAAAGGCCCTCTATGGGTTAAAACAATCTCCTAAAACATGGTTTGGATGATTTGCAAAAGTCATGAAGAAGTCGGTATATAAACAAAGCCAAGGTGACCACACTCTCTTCACTAAACATTCGGCTGTAGGGGGAGTAACTGTACTTCTAGTTTATGCGAACAACATCACAGTAACTGGAAATGATGAGAAAGAGAAACAAGAACTGAAGCAGAGACTAGCAAAAGAATTTGAAATAAAGGAATTGGAAAAACTGAAGTGTTTCCTCGTCATTGAGGTGGCATATTCCACACAGGTGATCTTCATATCTCAACAAAAGTACATGATTAATCTATTAACAGAAACAGAGAAGATTGGGTGTAAACCAGTCTTTACAACAATGGATCCGAAGCATAAGTTGGGAGAAGGTAAAGAAGAACCAACTGTTGATAAAAGAATATACCAAAAGTTTGTCAAAAAACTCGTTTACCTTGCCCACACTCGACCTGACATAACATACTCAGTGAGCATGATTAATCAATTCATGCACGATCCAAGAGAACCTCATCTTCAAACTGCTTACAGGGTACTGCATTACTTGAAAGGCAATCCAGGGAAAGGAATTTTGTTCAAGAAGAACGACACTCTTGCTCTTAAAGTTTACATCGATGCTGACTATGCAGGTTCTCTAGTAGACAGAAGATCAACTACAGGATATTGTACTTCTCTTGGAGGTATTCTGGTATCATGGAGGAGCAAGAAACAAAATGTGGTGACAAGATCATCCGCAGAATCAGAGTTTAGGGCTATTGCTTAGGAATTACGTGAGCTACTATGGTCAAAGATTATTCTAGATAATTTGAGAGTCAAATGAGAAGGACCTATGAAGTTCTATTGTGGCAACAAGTCAACAATCAATATTTCTCATAGTTCTATACAATACGATAGGACAAAGCATATCAAAATTGATAAACACTTCATCAAAGAAAAATTGGAGAAAGGATTAGTGTGTATATCTTATGTTCCATCAGAACGTTAAGTAGCTGATGTTCTAACAAAGGAGTTGAACAGTTCGAATTTTCATGATCTTGTAATCAAGCTAGGAATGGAAGACATGTATTCCTCAGTTTGAGGGGGAGTGTCAAGATATAGATATGCTGACAAGAAATTAGGAGAATTAATTAGAAATTCTATAAATTGAGGGATTAGGAGGTTAGTTTTCCTAATGGGTTAGTGTCCTATTTAGAAATGAGTAGGTTTCCTGATGAGTTAATGTCCTATTTAGAAATGAGTTAGTTTCCTATTTTTTTCTCTTGTAATCTACTATATAATACCATGTATTATCAATTTAGAAATAGAGATCTTTATTTTCTTCTCATATTTCCTCACAATCTTAAATGGATAAAGGAGAAAGAAGTCAATTGTGAGTTTTTAAATTTTGTGTCACGAATACAATTGTGATACAAAAAGAAGGAAAGAAATGATGAAGGTAAACGGCAGCTCTATGACTTCAACTGGTATCAAAGAAAGGAAAGGACAAAGAAGAAGAACAAGAAGCTGCTACAGTAGTAGGCTTGAAGATTTGGATTTTTTTAAAATTTACTCTTGTCTCTGATATCATGAAGAATTTTTATGAAATAGTGTGTAACTTTATAGCCCCATTCAGGAGGTAGAATCCTAAAAGTATGACTTTAGAGGACAAAGAGAAAATTCATATTAACAACACACAAAAGGGGTGCTACCCAATTAGAAAAGGACTTTTTATAAATTGTGACAAGAAAACTGAATATCTATAAGGCCTCCTAATCCTCTCCATTGTTAAAAGGATAACCATTAAACAAAATACTGAAGATCTAGAGACATTAATCTCTGATCCTAATCTATCATTTTCCTATTAGTTGGAACACTATGTGAGAATTTCAATTAGCCTTTCGACATTCTCATGTTTTTGGAATGGCATAGCATTCTTACTATTATCTAGTTTGCAAAGGAATGGTGTGCTGTTTTATGTTGAGCACTTCTAATTTCTGTTCTTGTTCTGTTTTCTGTTCCCTTCACTTTTATCATAGGAGGATTCATTAACTTCTTTGTTCTGTTTCTCTTTTATAATGCTCTTACTGTTCTTACTAAGAAAAGGTTTATAGATCATCATCATGAATAAGAATTTTCTCAAGCACCTAAAACTGCACACAAGAAAAGGACGACATTTCTTGGTGAATTCCATGCCATGGACTCAGGAATAAAATATTGTACCAAGAAGGTGTCATCAATCAGAAGCCAAAGCTTATCCTGCATATTTTCAAATGATAGTCTAACTAAATTCGATTCGAAAATCAAGCTTAGAGGCTGCAATGATTTTTATAATTACTCAAAGAAGAAAAGCCAGAGTCAGTCTTGACTTTTGTTTTTTTGAAATAAAGTAAGTCTTAACAAATTGGAAACTGAAAATCTTCCCAACAGTAAAGCTGCTTAGTAATGCAAACTCAAATATAGATAGAAGGATTCCTTCAGTAACAAAATCCCCTTGATAACTCCTTTCAAACAGATTTACAAATGGTCAGTGAGAACATCTACAAGCAGGTGGTACTCCCTTGGTGCCTAGTTTAATCTACTTTACTCTTTTTATCTCAGAAAACAAAAACTCCCTCCAAACAGAAAACAAATCGCACATGCACACACTCTCTCCTTCTGCATATATATTTATATATTTATAAGAAAAGATCAAACAAATATTTTATATTGGCAAACCTCCTAATCATAGGTGAGGTGTTAGACAAGGGGGGTTCCACACCAATTTATGAGAAAATGATAAATCAAAACCCACTAAGATTCAAATGCATCAACATCTGGATTTGTAAGAAGAATAAAATGTGCAAACTACTGCAATCTGCCTTTGCTAAATTTAATCTGAAGACATATGAATGACTGAAGGAGTTGAGCTTCTACCTGTAATGATTTTGTCAAATGCACCACGCTCCTTTTGGTTGCCCCATATGCAGCAAATCTATAAAAGAAAAATAAAAGGAGTAACTATGAGTGAGCAGCATCATGAACCTAGAACTGATTGTTGACAAAATAACATAACAACCAAACCTACCCCCTTAACCTAAATTTAGCATCCACTGTTTTTCGTACTCATATGCTGTACCACAATCCAGAATACCAAATTTTAGTAAGTAATATAACCTCTAGAAACTAGTTGGCTGACATTTTCATCAAAGGTTTTGGCAGTAACCAACTTCATTGATTAATTTGCATGATGGGCATGAGAGATATATAGGTACCATCTTGAGGGGAGTGTTAACTATTCAGAATCATTACTGTCATGATTTTCTCCAGTGTTGAAAATCCAGAACACAGAATCTCTTTTTTTTTTTCTTTTATTGTACATATCTTTACATAAATTCTAAATCCCTTGATTATCTCATTTTTTATTTTATAAATTATAACCATCTATAGCTAAGTTCCTATTGTTTATTTTTAACCACTTATAGCTAATTTTCTATGTATGGAAACCTTGCATGAATAGCCAGCTGTAAACGTCCATATGAAAAATACACCCAAAAAAAAAAAAATTCTCCCCCCTAGTTCTACTGTCATGTCTTTTTTTTTTTTTTTGAGGAATAGTTCTAATGTCATTTCCAACAAAATACTTTAGGTATATTTTCTTTCTGACATTTAGGAGAGTTAAAATATTTTCAAAACAACCCTTCTTTTCCCTTTACTCACAAGCAGCATGAATAAAGATGGAGTATCATTCAACAATTTATAGGATTGAAAATATCCTATTATGTCTAGAATAATAAATATAAGAAAAATAGATAGGAATTCTAACTTTAAAATAGTGCAACTGTTAAAAATATAATAACCCTTTTTCAGGACAAATCTTACCATCATTTCCTAAAGATATAATTGTATAATATCGACATGATAGAAAAGTTATAAAACCGAAAGTAAAAAGCTCAATACCTGGGTGTTGGTCTACCATCTGAACCAGCCCCATCA